GTTCAGTCCACCGGAAGTCCGGTCCAGACCGGTTCGGACTGGCTGGACCGGTTCAGCCCCATTTTTTTAAATCGGTTCGACTCTTATGTTAAGGTTTCAGCCCGGTTCATGATTTTAATGGTATTCTCAGTTAAATATCCGGGATTATTTCAGTTCAGTAAATTCATGTTCGATCAGTTCATGTCAGTTCAGTTCCAGTTATTCCGGTTAAGTCTAAATATCATGTCAGGTTCAATAGAGCATCTTAACAAAATTAATCAGTTAAGTTAACAGTCTGAGCATAGTCAGTAGTAATTGTTTATATTATTTTCAGTTTGATCAGGCATCAGCACTACCGATTCAGTTTCAGCAATTCAGGTGGGGACTCAGACTAAGTACTACATTGACTATAATTACGGTACCATGTTTGAGGTATGTATTTCATGTGAGGTATCCGCTCGGAATGGTCGCCGGTCCATTCTGGGTTCTAGTGGCCCTAGTCTGCCCACTAGAGTGTGCACATGGTGTCCGGCATTAGTTTTTGCCGGCAGATGAGGTAACGGTCAGGGTCACGTTGCGTGACGATATCAGATTCATGTTCATGTTATTACCGGTTTCATGTTGAGGTTATGTATATACTGATATCATGATGTTGTTATTATTTTCAATGTTTACATTAGTATGAGTTTCCACGGAGCACAGTGCCATAGTGCTCATTTCCCATTGTTATCATGTTTTTCAGGTCAGGATGTCGGGCAGGGAGCGTGAGCAGACGAAGGCTTCAGGACTTTCATGTTTTGATTGTATATATAATATGATGATTTACGTTTCCGCTGATGATGGCTTTTGACGAACTCATATTTTGATTGGACTTTTGAAAAACTTTATGCTTTCAGTATCCGTATGATTTTATTAAAAATCTAAGTAACGGTTTTCCAAATTAAGTCACGATTTTAAGGTAGTACCCCGAATCAGTTTTCGCAAAGTAAAAGGTTTTATTTTTAAATAACTTTGCGAAGTTTTCGCACTCTGATTTTACGATAAGGCGGGGTGTTACAAATGGTATCAGAGCACGTTTCTGCGTCTCTGAAGAGTTTTTCAAGTCAGTAATTTTTCAGAAAAACCTGAACAGTCATGCTCACGCCCCGCCGACGACAGGTAAGTGCTGATTTATGTTTTCAGTTATAAACATATTACTATGTCTATGCTCAGAATTATGGATCAGGACCTTAGTTAAGATGCTCGAATCAGGTTCAGATTTTAGAGATCGGACATGACTCTAGAATTCAGGGCATTCAGATATGACTCTAGACTTTAGTATCTTTCGATATGACTCTAGAGTTCCTCAGGATTCACGTCAGTATTTATCAGCCATTTTTGGCAACTCGTCAAGAGATTTGTGTACCTCAGTAGTCAGTCAGAATATTTCCACGTGTTCAATAATTTTGAACTTTCTCAATGATCAGATGTCGCCCCGTAGGGAACACGATTACCCGGTTTTTACTAAGGCACAACAGTCGCACAGTTTCATGACTATCGGGCTGAGAAATTTTTCGGACAGGGAGATCCCCGTATTGTGGACGAGTGGATTTAGAACCTTAGAAAGGGATTAAGTTTGAGAACTCTAGATTCAATTCTAGATTTACTCAAGTCAAGTTAGCAACTTGTCAGGAGATTTGTAAGCACTTGTGCTAAACGAATCTTAATAATCATGATTCTCAGATATTTTTATCGAGAACTGCCATTTTGTCAATCAACTGGCAGACTTCAGGGAGAAATTCCTTGATTTAATTCGAGGAATAGACTCAAATTTCCTAAGTCAGATCAGTAAATCATGTTCAAGACAAGAATTTTCATGTTAAAGGTTGTTATAGTTCTCACGTCATTGTTAAGGTAACGGTTTCCAGTGTATAAGAGTCAATAGTCCGGGTTACCATGGAGGCTTGAAATAATAGCCATTCAGCCGGGTATACCATGGAGGCTTGAAACTGAAACTGG